AATTCAGGTTCCAATGTCCGATTTGGGCATATAAACAAATGCCTAAATCCGGAAAGTGGTGAAACCGCAGCCTAAAAAGCTGCGGTCTACCACCGCCATTCTTTTCGCCGGGGACCGTAGATCACCTCGCACAACCAAATGAATTAAATCAAAATATTTTAAATTGCTATAAAGCCACAACTTACTTCCCCATAATTTATAGAAAAAATAAAAAAATATTTAACGAGAATCCTATAAATACGAATTAAAAGTAATGATTTCATCAAGTATTTTCACAATTGAAGAATTTCGTAGGGATCAAATCTTTATTTTTTAATGTTGGCCAATCATCTATTAGTTTAACATGATCTATATAATTTTGTAGATACATTAACAGAAATATTATTAGCATTAACGGGAGGAATTTTAATATTTTTGAATGTGAGTAATATGAGTACAAAATTATTTTTTACAATAAATAATTCTAACTTAATAGTTTAAATTTAATTAGGGAAGAAATATAAATACGTTTGTAGTACTACTCAAATTATTAGATTTTGCTTCGAACGTGGCATTTTTAATAAATACTATAAATACTGATCCAGACTTATTTTTTCCAAGGTATTAATTAGTCTTCATATTTAAATATTAACATATTTAAGAAAATTTCAAGAGCCTAAACGTCTTTGTTTTTCCCTTTAGTTTCGTGACGTTAGCAGTACCAGCAGTATTTAATCTTTTGCTTGTTCTTGGAGTAATGATGCAACAAACTCAACAAATCAATAAAAGTGAATTTAGGGGTTGGTTAAGGAAAAATATTATTATGACAACAATAATCACAATATTATCGATGGTAGATATAGTAAATATGAAATTACTCGTGGATATTACTATATTTGATCCCCCAGTAAGAAAATGGCTACTCGTGGCTGGAATATTCAATATCATTAAAGAATTGCCTCAATTTGTTATTCTTGTAAGTAAATTTTATATAAAAAATGCATGAAAATCAAAAAAAAGATCAAATTAACTATTTAACTAATCTCTGTTCTGGAATTAGGTACAATATATCAAGGATGTAGGATTAAATATGTTCATTATATTGACAATATTTACAAGTTTTATAAGTTTATTATTCAGTATAATCTATGAAATATACGAGAAATTATCATCTGATTTAGAAGTGTCTCATATCGTTTAGAATAGGTAAAATTTTCATTCGCAAAAAAATTATCGTAACGTAATCTTTAAATTATGTTGTAAGCATCCCATATTGGATGAATTTTATTTATTGAAGTCATTTAAGATTAATATATATGTATTTTTTCTCTCTCTAAATATAGCAATATAAATATCCTGTTTAAAGTTTTCTATCTTAAAGATCTTTTTATTATAGCATATAGAAAGTTTTTTTAATGACAATTTAACAAAAGAGTATACATCAGTTTTTCTTAGTAATTAAGATTCGATTAAATTATATGGATTTAAATTTTGAATATAATAAAAAACTTACAATTAATACAATAAATCTAAATAATTAATCCTAGTTTGAAATTAATTTTACTCAAAAAGCTATGGTTAAATCGTTGTCACATTTATCGTTTTTTCCTTTCACACTTCCTTTATTTGTTATTATTGAAGGTAATATTATTAACGATAAAGTTAATTAAACATGGAGTTACAGTAAAGTATTCTGTCGTAATATTTGAAGAATCGCTGCGCCACTAGTGACGATCAACCGATATTTTAAGAATAGATTATAAATAGACTTCATTTCGCTTTGTATTTGTTAAGAAGAAGAAGAATTGTTTAGATTCTCACTTAAGGTCTAGTCTATTACAGAGTACTGGCCGAGGGTTTATTTGTTTGATTCTTTGTATTTAATTAATAAAACCTCACCTTTTTCTGTTATAATAAATTATCAAGCTGATCGACGTTCATCCAAATAGTAAAATATAACCAATGATTTGAAATAATAAGATTAAGTTTTGACAGATAGTGTAAAAATAATTCATGCACATCGGGCGTGATATGCAAAATTTGATTTAAGTTTTGTTCTTTTTGCAAGAGATGATACCATAATGGCAAGAAAATTTCTTTTTTGATGAGGATAAAAAGAGGAACTAACAACTTTAATGCCGCATAAAAAAAAAAAATAATATGTTCAACATGACATGAGAACAAAGATAAAGGGGTTGATGAAGAAATAATATTTACGGTTTTGGATTCTTTTTGAAATAACGAACCCAAAACCCATATTTTTCAATTTTTTCTCTGGCAGTACCTGGTGAAACTTTTCTTTTTGTGATTCGTTCAGAGAAAAATTCCAGGAAAAAAAAAAATTAGCCTTGAGATTATCACTATCACGACATTTTTGAGAATTTTTTTTTTTTTTAGCTTTTGTTTTTGACAGATAAACATTGTTAAGAAATTATAAAGAAAAAAATAAATTTTTAAAATTTATTACCAAGGAAGCAAGGTATGCTTTGAAATTATTGGACAATACATTTAAATAAATCTTTATTTCCATGACATATCCAAAAAATCGGGCTTGACATCAAAATTCTGAAAGTTCTTCATACTATTTATGGAATTTAAGGCGGAAACATATAATTTCTGTACTGTGACCGGTGTTAGGCCTGGTATCGTCTCAAACCAAGCTAACAAGACTAATAAACTTAATAACACAATTATCTCAAAGGCCTTTCCTGAGAGAAATTAACGATAAACAAACAAAACAATTTATTATCACGATTCACTTGTGTAGTAGGTTATCACGATCAATCCTATGATGAAGACAAGAAGAAGGTTGAAAGTGTAAAATAGTAACTTTATTAACTGTAGAGTTATAAGTCTAGTCCCAAGACTTATTCAGAAAACTATCTGATCGAACTCTCTTCGAACTCTGTCGACTCAAAGTCAACTTACAGGTCTATTTATATAAAATTGTTAACTAATACTAAACTACGCCTTTCAATAAGTACATATAATGAAAATAATATAAATAATGAAAAGTAGACTATATAATATTTATAATGAAAGATAAACTATTCGATACATGTATTATAAAGTTGACTAAACGATACATGTATTACATGTTTAATATGTATGATATTTGGCACAGTTAACGATCATTTAAGGCACAGCATAAACTGCGGCTAACACCATTTATAGATTTAAAGTCCTTCAGAGGACATTAGATATTATTGATGACATACATAATAAAGACAGGAGAGGAATTTGTGATTTTACGAGATTAGTAAAGTTTAAAAAGTCGCCATGCCATGCTAAAAGCACAAATCATGATTTCAAATAAATTAATATAATAAAGAAAAATATTTAAAAACACTAATTTGTGTAACATCCATGAAACCAATTTTTTATTGTTTTACACTTTTAAGGTATTTTTCCCGTTAAAATCAGCCGATAAATTTATTAAGTTAATAATATATAAATTAATTTTTGATGCTTTTTTATATGATATGAAGAATATTTTGGCGGATCCTACTATTTTAATTCGACTTATTCTAAAATTTTGAAGTTATTTATGTTAAAAATTATATTATTTATTCAAAAAATTCACATTATTATACATCTATACGTATAAGTTATTTGAAATTTAATAACTGACATTAGACGCCTCCTGCTACATTGCAGGAAGTGCTATGACATTTTAATGTTATAATTAAGGATTTATTTGGTGTCTTTTTCCGTAATTTTATATTTTTATCTTTTTATTGCCTTAAATCACTGTGCTTTTTTTTTATTCGATTGATGGATTTATTTATTTTACAATGTAATTTACACTCATAAATTGAAAACAAAAAAAAATATTCATGCAGGTTTTAAAAGTTGATTTAAGAAAAAGATAATAATTTTTTTTATACTCATTTTTTATTCTCCTATGAATTATTCCCGAAATTATATAATTAGAAAAAAAAGATTATTTTTACTATTACATATATTACGTATGCACTATATATACGATTTGCATGCCTTATCGTTATAAGCTTGAAATTTTTCTTTTTTATTAGATAATCATTTTCATTTCAAAGTACAAAATATATAAATCTGCAAATTCCTTATTCATTCACTCTCTACACTTCCTACCTCTGCAAGAGGTAGGAAGGCATTCAGTGGATTGATAATGACTAATGGATTTTAACATGACATGTCTCCATGAATGCTAAGTACAGGTAAATAGAATAGTGACATACCCAAACGTCGTTGATTTGAAGGGTCAGAATAGACAAAATAACAAATGGATAGAAGCGAAACATTCCTTTGTATTATTTTGGACTGCTGTTGATAATATGAATCTTTTCTTAATAATATTGTCAAAAAGTATGTTATTGAATGATTTTATCAGAATAATTGAAACTATTTTAAATTTTTTTTACTACCGATTAAAATGTCAGCTTCTATTTTTCGGTTGTTAAAGGATTATTTTTTTGAAATTTCTTTAAAAATATATATATATTTCTATTATTAAATAATATAAGTCGAAACCCCTATGTTTCAATTTTGATTTTTGATGAGATTTTTATATACTTGACGATTTATAATAGTTTTGATCATTATAGTTTCGATGGGTAAGTATTATTCATCAGAATGTTTAGCTCGCTTATCTTCTGTTCATATATCTTTATAATTTCTACCGGTCAATACTCAGAATATTCTAATGAAGTTAAACTTTATGGATGGAATCCACAGCACTATACATTTCAAGAAATTAGGTATAGCTCTGCAATATTGGCGAACTTCTATAATCGTAAAAAACTTTGACTACAGTAATTCGTTAGACAAAATCAAAGAATTGGTGAAAAAAGTGGTAGTAGTATAGTAGTAGCGGAGCCAAAGGATAGGTGCAGTTATTATTTTCGAGGCGGCTTGTGGTCTAACTGCAAGTATTCTGACGTTTCGGACTATCTGAATGTTTTTATGACGCTCCGTAATTACAGTATATTACATTTTTATTATAACAAAATTGGATCATTATGTCGACATGTAAGATAATTAATTAGGAGAGATATACCCCAATCAACGGCCGTGCGTACAATCATATGACTCGCTCTTATAGTTACGCATCTTTAATAGTTGATTTATGGAAAGTTTCACAAAAGTATGTAAGATAAGTGAACAATATCGTATTTTATTTTATTTTATTTTTTTTATTTTCTATCAAAACTTAAAAAAAAAAATATGAAAGCCCTCATTGATGAACTCGATACACTCTTCAATATTAAAATCGAAAAACAATTTTAATCAAGAGGAGATACTTTCATATTTCACTAAAATGAAGCCGCACGATCCTCCATCGAATGAAGATAAAATTAAATACCTCTATAATAACTTTATTTTCACGATTTTATTCCTAAAAATTTTAAATTTTTAAAACTTTGAATTACTAACATAATTTATTAACCAAATTAAACGCCCACCACATTATTAATTGAACCGTATAATTATACCGTAACTTCACAGGTATTCGCTGAAGTTACTAATTGTTAAATGCACTCGATTTTTGTTCATAAACATTTTAATAAATTTAAATCTTTTTCGCGTGATAAATTTTAATTTATTAAAGGAAAAAAAATTAAAAGATATTATTAGCTTAATTTGCTGATACAAAAAAAAAATGTTGTTCAATGTCTTTTCAAATCGTTTAATATTTCAGATACAAATATTAAACTGCTAATTTAAATTATTGTCTTGAATCTAAACAATAATTATTAAAAGTCTTAAGATTTCAACTTAAAAAGGTCATATAATAAAAATGATTGGTGCAAAATGATTTATGAATAAATGGGGGAGATTTGATATGTACAAACGAACAAATATCTAAATTCAAGTGGTTATAAATTCGTCAACATTGTTTTTTTTTAACCAAATAAATATATCTATCTTTTAATTTTTTTTCACAAAAACAAAATTAATTCGACAAAAATAAATTCCCATCCATTCTCACAATATTGCTTTCAATAATTACTACGCTGTTCCGCTACCATTGCATTTTTAGTATATTGGCCATCATTTATCGATTTTCTCCTATTGAGTCTGAATGAATGCTTTGCAGTATAAGCTGCCGTCAAAACAAATTGTTATTCTCTTTCTCTGCGAAGCGCCCACCATAGCTTTTTCTGATTATCCCGGATTTATTAATAAATGAGATATAAGAAAATGAGGGTAAAATATATTGGTATTGAATCATGCAGGATTAGAATTGGAGATACCGATAAATTTCGTGGTTGTGGTCTTGGTCTAGGTTGTGGAATGAGTCATAAAATTGGTTGAGGACGTTGTCGGTACGGTCTATTTTTTATTAATTTTGTTAATTTAAATATACAGAGTCTTTTACAATTAAAAAATGGTTAACCAGTTAGATTAGTCGGTCAACTAGTCGGTCAAAAGACGGTCGGTCAGAAGTCTTTGACTGACATCTGGGGCGGTTAAATAATTGTTTTATGTAGTATTAAATAAAAAATATATATTTTTTTTTTTTTTTTTGGTTTCCCCAACAAGAAATGATAAAAATGTAAATGTCGCAGTAGTTATACAATTCGACATTCTAATTTTCAAACCAATACATAAAGTAAAAAGTAATACTCGATTCTTATCAATGAAATTGATATAAATTTTTTTCAAAGAATATAAAGTATATGAAATATAGATATTATTAAAAGCAATGGAAATCCCCGGTAATTTTTGATGAACATATATAAACACATGGCACACAATGATTAAGAATGATCTTTAATTAGGAAATCCATATACAGAAAATCCGGATATAATAAATCCAGATTGATTCGGATTTAATGTAAATCCGAATCCGATTTTTGAAATTAGGATATAAAAAAAAAAATAAATCTCTAGTACTGCGCTCTTTTAAACTTTACGAATGTATTCCTACTATTATAATTTAATATAATTATCATTTAGCGTCCTTTTTTTGTACTGTGAGTGAGCTTTTTTAATCGAGAGAATGATGTGAATTCAAAAAAAGATTAGCTGTAACACAAAAAATTGCATGACGATCGCCAAGACTTTATTAGTTATATGCTCGATCATATACAATTTAGTTACTTTGTTACTTCTTTTTTTTTTTTTAAAAAAAAAAATAAAAAAAAAAAATGTCAAACGATATTAATGAATACATTATTTGGATAGAAAAATCAATTGCTGACGAATATTTCAAATATTATGAATATTCGGACTTCAAAAATATACAACCAATAGGAAGTGGTAATTTTGGAAAAGTTTCTCGTGCTAATTG